CAGCCTCTCCTCTCTCGTGACTACCCCCGGAAGCTCAGCTACTTTCCTTCTAGGCCTCTGGCTCTGACCTTGCACTGCAGCCCCACTTTAAAATAATAACAGCAATTCGCCACGTGCTAAGAGCTTAGTTATGAGCAGGACCCTACACAGCAGGTCCCTGAATAACGCTGTTGAGTTCAACATTGTTTCCTTACGTTGGTGAGGAAGAAAATGATCCCCAGCTGGGGCCACTGTCCGTGTGGGGTTTGCACATTCTTCCACGTCCGTGTGGGTTTTTTCTGGGTGCTCTGGCTTCCTCCCCCATCCCAAAGATGAGCATGTGAGGTGAACCGGCGTATCTACATTGTCTTGGTCTGAGTGTATGTGTGTATGTGTGTGTGTGAGATATGTGACCTGTGACAGAACATCCTCTCCAGAGTGGGTCCCACCTCACTCCCTGAGCTGCCAGGGGGCTCTGGTCACCTGTGACCCTGAACTGGAATAAGTGAGTTGAAAAATAATCATCTTACTTGGTTTTATTACTCTTTCTTAAATGTTTGTTAGCTCACATTGATTCCGATGTTTAATATTAGAAGCATGTTGGGCCTCCATTTAGAAGCCGAGTGATGCTTTTGTGGCTAGAAATATCCCGTCGGAACTTAACTCTTGCTTACGTCAATTGGCCTACGTAAAGTGGTTTCGTTACACATCATGTCCCTTCAAGTTGCCCTTTCCAAGAAACTACAGATAATGTAAAGGGAGGACTTGCTGTGCACTAACTCATCAGATCCTCACAGTCCCTTGAAGGAAGTTCATTCTGAATTTTTTTATCCTCACCAAGGACATTTTTTTTTGTTGCTTTTAGAGAGAAAAAGAGAGAGAGAAAGAGAGAAACATAGATGTGAGAGTGAAGCATTGATTGGCTGCCACCCACAAGTGCTGGGACTGGGCATCCAATCCGCGAACTTTCAGCTATGGGACAACATTCCAACCAACTGGCTAGGGCGGGAGTTCATCCTACAGATGAGGAAACCGAGGCACAGAAAGGAAAAGCCAAGACCTGACTCTAGCCCCAACCACTGCTTCTATTACAAGAGATACGAAATGGCAGGATATTTTGGAACCAGAGGCCAAAACTTTCTTCCCTCCCACCTTCTGAAGAGAGAGAAATGGAAATTTTGAGGGAAATCAGACCTACTCTAGGTGTGAGAGCCCTGTGATGCTCTAGAACACAGGTGGCAAACACAAGGCCCGCGGGCCAAATCCAGCCCTCCACCTAGTTGCTACCCGGCAGCAGTGCCCAGCTCTCACTTAACTGTTAAGGAGGAGTTACATGTATACAGTCCTACAGTTACATCCAGCCCTCCAAAGGCAACCGCAGGGATGAAGTGGTCCCTGGTGAAAATGAGTTTGACACCTCTGCTCTAGATTATACTGTCCATTTGGAGCATTAAAACGCATTGTGTGCAGTACATTTTAAAGTGTGGAGAGTTAGAGAGTGCCAGGAGGAACAGAAGCTTGTGGAAAATTTCCCTTTTCCTTGAGGTTTTTCCATTTGGTTTTAAGTCTTCGGAAACCCCATGCCAGGGCTCCAGCTACTACGGCTCTTGAACTTCAACGAGGTCTGGTGTCCATCACTGACTTCTGAGAAACCTGGGTCCTGGTGCCCTGAGTTCTGCCACCATTAACGAGTTCTATGCCTTAGGGGTGAGTGGCTTGACCTTTCTGAACCTGACTTCTTGTCTAAAATAAGGGTAACAGTACTACCCCGCCCCCCCACATCCCCCCAAGAACGTCATGAGAAACGCTAAGTCCCGCACTCCAGCTGCACACAACTTCAGGTTTGCCAAGCGCTTGAACATTTCCCGGCTTTTTGGCAGCCAACTCTCCGTCATCCGTTAAGGCCCTCTGACCCTTTCCACCTCTTCCAGAATTTCTATAAATGTTTCAGTAAAAAGCTGGAAAAGGCACTTCCCTGTGACACCCTCCCTGGGGGTCCTCGTCACTGCACGCATCACAGGGAAATGCAATGCTCTGCTCACGCTTCATCTCCGAGAATGGGCTCGAACGTTCTGAGGGAGGCCTGTCCCCGACTCATGTCCGAGTCCCAGGGCCCAGCGTGCACACAGCATGGTATTTCCAGTACAAATTTGCTTTACCTCAGCCCCGACTGGTGTGGCTCAGTGGACTGAGCGCAGGCCTGCAAACCAAAAGGTTGCCAGTTTGATTCCCAGTCAGGGCACATGCCTGGGTTGCAGGCCAGGTCCCCAGTGGAGGGCTCATGAGAGGTAACCACACAATGATGTTTCTCTCTCTTCCTTTTTCCTTCCCTTCCCCTCTCTCTAAAAATAAACAAGTAAAATCTTTTTTCAAAAATTTGCTTTACCTTAAAGGCATGTGGCCTGGACCCAGCCCCTGCTGACCCCAGGACAAAGTCATGTATGAAAAGTGGTAAAAGGGAGCCAGTGTGTTAAAGCCACAGAGCATGGCAGCAAGTGGACCTGGAGCAGCCTCGAGACAGGCCTAGACTAGGAGGGGTCGAAGGGGGCACGGTTCTTAGAAGGAAAATAAATAGACCTGGTTCCAATGTCACCTCCTTCAGGAGCCTTCCTTGATTCCTAAATTGTCTGTTTCCTCTGACATCTCCCCAAAGCATTTGCAGAAGCAATCCCAAGTGATGAGGAGTGTCCAGGAGTGTCCCCACCTTGCCGATACATACCCACCCCCATCCAGACACAGAGGCCTCTACGGTCACAGGCTCCATTTGGGTGGGGAAGGCAATCTAGGTGCGCTGGGACCCCAGGCGCAGGCAGCTTAGCAGGCTGGATCTGAGTGCTGGGCACAGCCCCCCATCTTCCCAGGCCACTAGGGGAGTCTTTCCTGGAGGAAGAAAATTCCCGGGTCCACAGCCTTGCCCTGAGAGACGGACCGTGCTTTGCCCACTAAGGGCAGGCACCCCCACCCCCAACTCGCCCAAATCCCATCTGGAGCCTAAGCCTCCACCCCTCTCAGCCCCTACTGGAGAGACAGCCTCCCTGGGAAAGGCTTTTGTTCCCAGGAAATGACTGTCAGAGGCAGAAGAGGTACATTGTTTCTTTTTCTTTTCTTTTTTGCTTCAGACAAAGACGTCAATTTCTTTCCATCTGTCCCAAAAAGGGAAGATTAAATTTGTTTTCACAGGGATGTCAGAACACTGCTTCAATAGGGAGTCAGGCTGTAAGACAGGCTGCGTCTGTGAGGAAGGGGAGGGCAGTGGGGGTGAGAGATGAAGGGGACACACGGGGGACAAGGACAGACCCTGGCACTGGGGGGAGCGAAGAGCTGGGCCTACCTGGGTAAAATGACAACCCAATGAGAAGAAATACTTCCCTGCTGAGCTCTGGGTGGACCTCCCCTCCCCAGCAGTTGGAAGGGGACAGCTGGAGCAGGTGCAGGGAAAGGGGGAGCACACACTGACGTCAGCATTACAGCTACAGAATCTTTCTCCCCTCCCCCCTGCCCACAGTTCCTCCAGAGCCAGGGCCCTGCGTGGGCAGGTCTAGCTCACTGGAAACTGGACACAGTGCACACAACCAGATGTTGAGTAAAGGGAAAGAGAATTTCTCAGAGGCTCTTCTCAGAAAGCCTATTCTGGTGCTACAAACAGATGCCCCACCCAGTCCCAGGGGCACATACCCTCTACTACGCTGCTCTAACCCATGGTCCTCTGTCCTCCAGCACCTGGGCCAGAAAAGCCAGGATCCTAGAGACACCCCCCACAAAAAAAAAAAGCTTCTGCCCTCTGGCTTCAGGACCTAACCTCAAAGCAGAAGCCCCCCCCCACACACACACACACTTCCTGCCTCAGCCCACCCACCATCACCTCTTGATACAGAGGCTGACCTGCAGTTCAGCTTGGGAACTGAAGCTCCCCAGACCTCCTTACGCCTTTTGAGCCCCATTAGAGACTTGCAGCGGAGGAGTCTACCCCAGCTGCAGCCCTGCTGTCCTGTCCTGGAGCCACCCGCCCTGCTCAGTGTCCTGTGCCAGCCCCCACTGAGATGCACTGCTGGGGACCCTGATTCGGTGCTGAGGGCACATGACTGTCAAGGAGTGAAAAGGTACGTATGTGTGTGTATATATTTCTCTATTTTCTTTAAGATTTTATTTATCTTTAGAGGGGAAGGGAAGGAGAGAAATATCAATGTACTGTTGCCTCTTGTGGATCCCCTGCTGGGAACTGGCCTGCAACCCAGGCATGTGCTCTGACTGGGATCCCTGGGTGAGCAGGCTCGTGCTCAAGCCACTGAGCTACGCCAGTCAGGGCTCTCTATTTTCTTTTTATTTATAAAGATGTCAAGTTGGACCTGGACCTTGGCAAGCACAGCCTTGAGACCTACCTCCTGCTAGATAGAGCTCGGGGCTGGGACTCTATCCCACGCTATCCCCTGCACACAGGCCCAATCTTGAGCAGTAGCCACATCTCACTGTCCCATCCTTGAGACTCGCCCAAGAAGAGGCCCCCCCTCACCACGCAGAGACCCAATCTTCCAGCTCAATTCCCAAGCTGCCTCCCCCACCACTGCTCCCCCCACCCCCGCCCCGGGTCCCGCGCCTGGAAGCTTCAGGCCTCAGTCAGTAAGTATCACCACTGACACGACCGTCTCAGGGTTCTAACTTAAAGCTGCCCCAAGGTCGAGCCCCTGCCCCACTGTAGTGGCCCTGTTTACCCGACCAGTTCTAGAGCCCACTCACTGGTCCTACTCCCTGGGGGTTGCTAGCTCCGCCTCCCTCGCCCCAACCCAGAGCCTTTGACCACACACTCCGTCCAGAGGCACCGCCCCACCCTCCTGCCCTCTGCTCCGCCCCAGAAGTCCACCCACAGCTGGGGCCCCAGCTCTTGGACCCCGCCTCCTTTCAAGCCCAGCTACGTTTTCCAAAATAGAGGCTCCCTTATGCCCCCTTCCTTTTGCCCCGGTCTGTGTCACGGCCCCCGCCCCCATTAGAACTCGGTGTGACGGCCAGGTCACTCCGGAGGGGTGCACGGTGGGCCGGCCGAGCCTGGTCAGGCGGCAGCACCGCCAGGACCTTCGGACGGGGTGCAGGCGGTGACCCGTTCCCGGACCGTAGCCTCGCGGGCACGGCTGAAGCTGCCGGGCTCCGGGCGGCCGCAGGGTGAGCGGCAGAGCTGGCGGAAGCAGCGCTTGAAGTTCTCGTCGAGGAAGGCGTAGAGCAGGGGGTTGAGACTGCTGTTGGCGTAGCCGAGCGCGATGCACAGGTGCAGCGCGGCCACCACGAGCGGGTCGCGGCGGTTGATGTCCACCAGTGTCCAGACGATGACGAAGATGTGGATGGGTGCCCAGCACACCACGAAGGCGCCCACCACCACCAGCACCATGCGCGTGATGCGACGCAGACTGCGGTCCTTCTCCTTGGAGCCTGAGAGCAGGCGCACACTGCGCAGGCGCAGCAGCATGAGGCCGTAGCACACGGTGATGATGAGGATGGGCACCACGAAGGCAAAGAGGAACACGCAGATCTTGGTGACCGTGTCCCAGTACCAGCTGGGGCTGGGGAACTGGAGCATGCACACCACTGCCCCGTCTGGGTCGAGGAAACAAAGACAGACAGAGGGGGTAAGGGGCTCGGAGCCTAAGGGGCTCCTTCTGCCTGCTTGCCGCGCCCCACCTCCTACCCGCCTCCAACTTGGTCAAGTCCCAGCGCTCCTTCTGGCCTTTGCTCAAGGTCATTCCTCTCTCTGGAAAGTCCTCCTATTCTTCTGCACTTGATGAACACTTACTCACCCTTCAATACCCCAGTAGGATTGGCCCTAATATAGAAGGTGTTCCTATATTCTCTCCCAGTCCCTCACTTCATAAGACTCCAGTCCATGGGCAATAATAATGATAAAATTTAGCCCAAGACCACTAAACGTCAGTCATTGTGATAACTCAAAACAGCTCACGAATTTCCAGAGTAACTTCAGTGGGCACAATATTGCTGACAGAGAGCCTGAGTTAAGAGTAGGACTCGGGTCCAACTAACTGTGGTGTGGCCTTGGGCAAATTACTCAGACTTCAAGAGCTTCCCTAAAGTGGGACTAATAACAGTACCTAAGCCTCGCAGGGTTGTCGTGGGGCTTAAATGGGCCAAGGCATGTAAGCCATTTAGCACAGTGGGGTTTGAGCTCTTGGTACATTCACAGGGCGGAGGATAGATACACGTGGGAGTCTGGAGGTCAGGGCTAGGGATGGGGTGGCAAGTCTCAGCTTCTTAGCAAAAACTTCCTGACTGCCAGACTTGTCCCGGGATAAGAGGGGCTCGCGGGATGGAATGAGCTCCCTGTTCCTAGGCTATGGGCTTGGGCAGCATGAGAGCACCTCACAGGATGCTGTGAGGTGCAGACACAGGGCTGGGGCTGGCCTGAGCAACTCCCTAGGTCTTTGAGAATTCTGAAGCTTGAGGAGCTACACAGTGGACTTGGAGCCTGAGAGTTATGAGGAGGGGCTGGGGACCCACAGACCATGAGCCCATGACATCAGGCTGTCAGGACCCACAGACACTGCTGAGGTCGAGGACCTCACTGTACAGATGGTAGAACCATCAGAAAAGAACAGCACTTGTCCAAGGTCACACAGCGAGTGGCATACAAGTGCTGATGGCACACACTGGGGAGGTGGTGTGTGTGTGGAGTGAGTTAGCCCATCTGGCCCAGCCCCCAGCAGGGCTGCAGTTAATGGCCTGTAAACTGAGGGCTGACAATGAGGAGTGGGGCCCAGCTGCTGAGTCAAGACCCACAGCTCAGAGACTCTGTAAGGGCTCTACCCTTGTGAGCCAGTGGTGGCCAAGAAGCCTCCCACCACACCTGCTCCCCTCTCCCAGCACAGCACTGATGATCTGCAGCCCTTCACGGCAGGGGCTGAATGGAGCATCAGACCCGGGGACAGAAGCCTTGGTTTCTAGGCCAAATTCCACCATATGTCTGGCTGTGTGACCCTACATAAATCATCTCTCTGACTTCGCTGGTTCTCAGCTTCCTTAAAGTCAAATGGAGGTAAGAGTCCCTGCCTTGTCTCTCTCACAGGCTTAACCATTCTAGTAGCTGCTATTTACTGGGCCTCGGCCATGAGTCAGGACCTGTCCTGGGTATTTAACACGTACAACCTCATTTCGTTTTCTCCATGCCCCATGACAATACAGTGTGGCTTAGATGGGTTAGTGACCCGTGGCTTGATGCCCTGCTGAACTGCTTCCCTCACTTCTTCACATCAAGCTGGGGTCATGTGACCAGCTATCACTAAGAAGAGATGGGCCATAACATTTAAAAGTGGTTGTGTTTTCTCATCGTTCCCTCTCCATATCCATCTATTGGCCAGGTGCCAGTAGTAGAAGATTCCAAAACCATCTGTGGAGCCTGGGTCCCTGAATGATTGTGTGGCATAGAGACCCTCCTCTTCTTGCTCATATTGAACTGTAATGTGAGTGAGAAATAAACTTTTTCTGTGTTAAACCACTGAGCGGCTACCCTAACTGATATAGCTGGCTACTATACTAATAATTGCCATTTTACTTTGAGGAAATGCACCTGCCTGTAATTCTCTGAAGGCCAATCTCTAGGCCTTGCTTTGGTCACATGGGCCAATGATTTCAAATCGGGGCAGAAGGGAGTTGGGATAGAACCGAAGATCTTGTGGCCTCCACTGCTCACTGATCAGTGACACCCTCACCCCACTGGCCATCCAGCTGTCTCCTTACAGGTCAGTCATCCACACACTTCTGGCCAGTGGCAACGTGCTCATACATCAGCCATCCATAATCCCATTCAGCATTTCATTTGGCCAGCAACCCACAAGACCAGTCATTCGTCCTCACTACAGTTAACCATTCACATTGCTCTTTGGCCAGCCATTCCCATTCCCATTGGTTGACTATCCATACTCTCCCTGGCCAGTCACTCGCACTGTCATTGATCAGCAGTCCACACTTCCACCCTGGTAAGTGATCTGCAAACCCGCAGAGGCCCATGTGCTGCCTCCTGTGGTCACTCACCCCGGGGACGGGTCACAGCCATGATCATGATGGGTACACCAACACCCGAGGCCAGGACCCAGATGCAGATGTTGATCAGCTTGGCCTTGGCGGGTGTGCGGAAGTCCAGGGCCTTGACAGGGTGGCAGACGGCAATATAGCGGTCGACACTCATCATGGTGAGTGTGAAGATGCTAGTGAACATGTTGTAGTAGTCAATGGAGAGCACAGCCTTGCAGAGCAGCTCTCCAAACGGCCACGTCTCCATCAGGTACTTGGCGCTCTGGAAGGGCAGTGTGCTGGTGGCCAGTGCATCTGCCAAGGCCAGGTTGAAGATGTAGATGTTGGTGGCTGTCTTCATCTTAGTGTACCTTAAAAGGAAGTGCACGTGTAACTGTTCCATTGCACAGACTTCAGTTTCACGTGAAATTCAGGGAGGTGAAATGACTGGTCCAAGGTCACACAAAAGGTCAGGGGCAGAGATGGGACTGGAACCCTGATCTATCTGATTGAGCAGCATTCCTTTCTGCTATAACAGAAGGGGTGTTTCTCTGGCTGGGGGTGACTTTGGCAGAAAGCATTTTAGGAAAAACCCTTACCTTTTAAAAAGAAAATTAAGCTCCAGAAGAAAATAGCTGATTGAACTCTCTAAGTCTTGGTGGTCACCGCTGTACAGAGGGTGACACCCTTCCCAGCCTCAATGGGTTGTTATGAAATTTAAGGAGATGATACAGCACTTAGCCCAGCACCCAAAGCATGGTAAATGCTCATATATGAGAGCTGTTCTTATTCTTCATATACAAAGAATGAAGCTGGGGGCTCGACCAAAGTGATCTGTCCCTCTGTCACTGACCTGGCCTTTTGGGGATGTGACTGAGCAGCTTTGAGGGAAGGACTCTGCCTAGCAGAATGACTGGGGCCCGAGACGGCTGGGGGTGTCCTCCCTGGTAGACCAGGGCTGCCAGTCCTTCCTGCCATCCTGTCCAGACTGTCTTGCTCCCCCATGCAGCTGGACTCACCCAGCTGTAGGGAAGGGGAACAGGGGGCAGTGTCAGACGTCAGAGCATGTGCCCAGGTGTCCAAGCCAGGTGTCTGCAACCAAGCCCTGCACCTGAAACTCTGCAACACCCCTCCACGCTCTGTGCTGCCGCACAGCTGCTTTTGCACTACAGCTGCCCCCTTGTCTGCCAACACTTAGAGTCATGGCCCCTTCGGTGCCAGGGCTGGGCACCAAGTAGCCTGGAGGAGGCTGCCTACAGTGCAGTGTGATCCCGCCGAAACACAGTCCCAGTGCAGCGTGATCACCGCCGAAACACACAGGTACACCAGGAAGGGGTGAGGACTGTCCTGGGGTGATCGGAGAAACCCAGAGAAGAGCTGTATGAGCCCTGCTCACAGTTCAGAGCGGAAGAGCCCTGAGAGGCTGAGGGTTAGTGATTTTACAAAAGTGTGGCCCACGGACTTCCCTCAGAATCATGGAAAGAACCTGTAAGAAATGCAGATTCTTGGACTTAACCCCAGCCCTTCTAGATCTTAATCCACGGAAACTATCTTTAACAAGAACTGCCCCCAGCAAGTGATTCTTATGGACCCTGAAGTTTGAAGAGCACTTGTGTAACCTAAAGCCCATGTTGGGGAGAGATGGGGAGGCTGAGCCAAGGCCCCACAGTGACAGTGGCAAAGCCAAGTCAGGAAATCGAATGCTTTCTCTCCACCCTAGCCCTCCAGGCTAGCAACCCACAAGACCCCCCAACCCCCTCACATGCCAGGCAGTGCCCCAGGCGCCCAGAAGGAGCGCTCTCACGTGTTTTTAATGACTGAGCAAAAACTATCAGCTAAGGCTGTACCTTCATAAAGTCACTGATTTGTTTGTTTTTTTAAAAAAAAGACTTTGACTCACTCATTGTCCTCCAGGGCCAGCATCTGTCCCACTCCCTCTCAAAATAGCTGTCATTTGCCCTGCGGCTGGAGAAACAAAAAGTTTTGCTCGGAGATAGCAGAACTGCTTGGGAAGTCTGTCTTCAGCGGGCGGGCACGGGTTCACAGCTGTGTGGGAGGCAGGCTCAACCCCGCAGCTGACTCGTCTAATTTTGCTTCTTTACGCAGAACAATTAGAGGCTGTTCTTTGCCTGCTATTTTGATTTGTGAAGGATCCTTCAATTCCCAGAGGGGGCTGGGATGCTGGGAAGTGGGTGATGAAGCTGCTGTAGTTGATCCAGGCGGGGCTGAGAGCCCCAGGAGCTCCCTCCTCACGGCCCCCCACCCCACAGCTAACCGGTGCCAAGCCCGGTCTTGTTGGCCTCCTCGGACAAATCATGCCTCTCACCTGCTCTCAAGGCCCCAGTGGCTTCCCAAAGTTCTCTCCACATTTCACAAACTGGCCCGACCCCTTCTAGGGCCTCGGCTACCGGAACCTTCCCCAACCCCCGGCCTCTCCCCTGTTCCTTGGACCCCACCAGCCCACCTCCACCTCAGGGCTTCTGGGCTGCTCGCTGCTCTGTCTTCCTGATGATCTCGATCCTGACCCCCCATTGTGTACGGTTTGCTCCTTCACTTGACTCAGGATTCTATTCGAATGTCACCTCCTCAGAGAGGCTGCCTGACCTCCCTACCTAAGGCACCCCTCCCCGCCCCGGTCACTCTCTAACTCCTAACACTGCCTCACTTTTTAAAAATATTTTATTATTTATTTATTTAAAAAATATTTTATTTATTCATTTTTAGAGAGAGGGGAAGAGAAGGGAAGAAATATCAATGTGCGGTTGCCTCAGTTGCCTCTCCCGTGCCCCCTACTGGGGACCTGGCCTGCAACCCAGGCATGTGCCCTGACTGGGAATCGAACTGGCGACCCTTTGGTTTGCAGCCTGTGTGCAATCCACTGAGCCATGCCAGCCAGGGCTGTTTATTTATTTTTAAAGAGATGGGAAAGGAGAGAGAAAAGAGACAGAGCAAAACGACTGCTCTACTGCCTCTCACACCCCCCCAGCTGGGGACCTGGCCTGCAACCCAGCGACGTCTCCTAACCAGGAGTTGAACTGGCAACCTTTTGATTCATATGCTGGTGCTCAATCCATGGAGCCACACCAGCCAGGGCTCATTTTTCTTTACACCATGAACTTCTGCCTGATTTAACATTTATCTTCTTTTTCCCTGCACCTGCTTCTCTCACTCATGTAAACTCCCCGAAGACGGGAGTTTGTCCATTTTGTTCCCTGCTGTGTCTTCGGCCCTACCAGTAGTTCCCTGGCAACAGCACGCTTTCCATAGCCGTTTGCTGTGTAGTTCAGGTCTCATCGGCTGTCTCGGGGACCGCCACGGCGGCCTCTCCACCCCACGATTCATCATCCGTAAGTTGGGGTGCTCACGATAAAAGGCAGATTTCCTCAGGGCACTCTTCTGCTTACGAGCCTGCTGTGGCTCCCCATTGCCACCTGCAAATCCAAACTCCTCAGACACACGCGCCATCTGCGTGGGCTCCTCCCCCGCCCTGTGCCTTCCTGCCACATCTGTGGCCCCCACACATTCAGTCTCACATACCCTCCCTCCTGAGAGACAGCCAAGGTGGTGGTTTGGTGGGAGCTAACCAAAAGCTATACCAAAAGCTATACATGCATATAGCTTTTTATAAAATTTTATTTCTGCCAACGCTATACCAGTGCATAGTATCGTCACACAGTATTATAATCAAAATGGGTGCCCCTCTGCCCCGCCCTTCTTCCTGCCTCTGTCCTGCTCCCCAGAGGCCACCACTTTTCATGTTTTTAGTTATTCTTCTAGAGATTATCTCCATAACTCTAAACAATATGCTTAAATGGCTATTTCTTCGCTATTTATTTATTTATTTTAGAGAGGGGGAAGGGAGAGAAAAATATCGATCTATTGCCTCTCACATGCCCCCAACTGAGCACCTGGCCCACAACCAAGCACCTGACCCATACATAACCCAGGCACATGCCTTGACCAGGAATTGAACTGGCAACCTTTAGGTTTGCAGGATGATGCCCAACCCACTGAACCACACCAGTTGGGGCTTAACTGACCATTTCTTGATGTAGCAATTTTAGACGGTATTTGTTGAAGTTTGTATTTGGTTAAGCCAGACTATGCAGCAGTAACAAACAATCCCAAAATCTCATAATTTAAAACAATGAAGGTTTCTTTCTAACCCTTGCAGATTCCGTTCGGCGCCTCAGGGACTAAATTCCACGAGGCAGTTTGAGCCTCTGCAATCCTGGGCTCTGCCTGAGGCCTTCTGGGTCACGTGGGGGAGGAGAGACGGCTGCAGGGTCATCTGAGCTCTGGGCGAGCTGCAACACAGCACTTCCACCTAAAGCTGACTGAGGAGCACTAGTCACGTGGCCCGACCAACAGCGAGGGGCTGAGATGTAAGTCTTGTATGTACCCAGAGGCAGGGACAACCAGACATCACCAAACGCTAGTAATGTCCCCACCTTCTCTCCCACTGCCCAACTCCTCACCCCTTCTCCATCCTCCCAATATACTTTTGCCACAATTCTTAAATTTCTAGACTTCCGATAAGATGGAGGCATAGGTGGAAACATTGTGCCTTCTTGCACAACCAAGTTTAAAGACAACAAATTTTTTGTAACAAAAAACGCAGCCAAAACACAGAAAATTGAACTATATGAAAGTCCGACAACAATGAACCACTCAGCCAGACCGGTAAGAGGGGTGGAGCCAGTGGTGGGCAGAGTGGGGTTACACAGGAAAACTTGACCAGACAGACCCAGGCCCGCTGGCAGCGGTTGGCGGATCCCAGGCGTGGGGTTGCGACAGGCAGACCCAGTGAGGGCGCAAGGCGGCAGGCTGACCAGGGTCACACATTCGTGCGCAGATAAACCAGCAAAGGAGCGAGCAGTGAGACAGACCGCACAGGCCCCAGCAGCTGGAAGCAGCAGAGGGGACCACTATTGTCCCTCTTTGACCCCGCCCCCACATACAGCGTCACAACCCAGCGACCTGGGCAGCCCCACCCTAGTGAACATCTAAGGCTCTGCTCCTCATATGTAACAGGCATGAACAGGCCAAAACATGGCTCAAGAAGAACTCAAAGCCCCAGAGCCCATAACTCTAAGTGACCAAGAAATAGCCAGACTTTCAGATGCACAGTTCAAAACACTGGTGATCAGGATGCTCACAGAACTAGTTGATTTTAGTCACAAATTAGAGGAACATATGAAGGCTAAACTCATTGAAATGCACAGGAAACCAATAGTGATGGAAAGGAAACTGGGACTCAAATCAAGAGAGTGGACCAGAAGGAACAAAAAAAAAATGACCAAACAGAAAAATATGAAGAAACAAGAATTCAAAGAAATGAGGAGAGGCTTAGGAACCTCCAGGACATCTT